AGTTTTTAGACAACCTTTATCCGTTTATCAGTACCTCTCCCTTCATGAATAGATCTGGTCAATCGCTGGTATTGTGCTCCACTTAAACACGAGAGATTGTGACAAAATTAGGACATACTATAAGTGACAAGACAATGTGATCCTATGTTCCTAGATAATATTCCTTAAGGACCATTCAGCTGATGACGACCAAAGATATTGTTGTCCACCTAAATTGAGCAGCGAGATCTACAGACAACCTAGTGATTGTTCAATTTTAAATGTACTAGAACATGTTTCCCGCTTCCTGACATACCCCAATAATCAGGAACTTCCAAAGTACTCCTTACTTTAGGTGAGCAGACAATTATTATGAGAGAAGTCAGATTTAGAATGCATATGCTATACACCCAGGTCAGATCTCTTCCAATCTCGTAGAGGGTGAAACATATGACTAACCAGATTTAGAGGGATTGAGAAGTAGAATGGTGCATATGCTGTGTACCAGGTCGGATGTATTTCAATCACACAAAGGAGACAACATATGACTAACAGACAGGAAGAATTGCATAGATAGAAGATGCAAAGAAATAGAATTGCATATGTTGCTATCCAGGTCGGATGTATTTCAATCACGCAGAGGAGGCAACATATGACTAACAGAAAGAAAGCAAGAAAATAATTTCCTACAGACCTACTTTATCGGAATTCCCCAGTCGCCCCATCAATACCGGAATTAAGGACAAAGTTTGTACATCGAGGAAGAGTTAAACCACGGTTCTAGATACAGATTATTTTAGTGTGACCGGTGGATTATCATGTATATCTCCCTGCTCAACCTATCTGAGCGTCGTGTTGTCAGGCTAAATGGATCTATCTAGGTCAAGATTTATCAAGTCTCTAGATTCCTTAAGTTCATTAATGCCTAGTCAGGTCCATTTTAATCTTTCGTGCCTACCAGCACATCGAACACAGAGGCTAGACAATTCAGATTCAGTCCCTTACACAGATTCAGATTGCCTGTTATCACATGATTATATCACTTCCCAAAATATCTCCCTCAAGCACATTCCATAACCAACATATTTTTGGATTTTCTGATTTTCTAATGTTTTTGGATTTTTTTTTTAAATTTTCTAATTTTTGTTTTGTTTTTATTTCTCCCCCTAAATTTGTGCATACGAGAAAAACGAAAGTAAATGCTCAAATTTAAACTATCCTAAAACAAAAATTAGTCTTTAAAGTGAATCAGCTTAAGAAAAACTCAGGAGTATAAAGAAGAAAACTCAAATCATAAGTCACCGATTGAATTTGCATCCAGAAGGTCTGAGAACAGCACGCGTAATCTCAGAACAGATCCAAAAATTCTTCACATCGTTAAGCACTAACCCCATGAGTGATCCCTTCCTTTCTTCCCTTCTCGCAAAGGACACATACTCTCAAACAATGTTCTGAGTGTTGTACAATTGAGAGATGCCTCCTTGTAGGTGCCCATTTTGTCGATTGGATCGGTGCGGAAGATATTACCAAGAAGATAATCGTGTATGAACATGATGAACATAATATGTGAGTAAAATTGTAGTAGATAAATAGAGAGATACAAAATATTACAAGAACACTCATGGTTGGGAGAGATAACTCTCCCATGGTGGGAGAGATCCCACCACACTCTCTCTACAAAGTCTACAAAGTCTACATAGTGCACTCTTACAATAAAATGACCATCACCTCCACTTTATATACTAGTGGAGGGAATATGCTTTTCATATAAGGGAATATTCTAACCTAATAAACACTCAACATTGTAGAGCACTTTCATGCTCCAACAATCTCCCCCTAAATGCTCGGAAATGGTGAGGGTAAAGCAGTGATAAAAGGCAGAACATCCGACAGGCAGGTCCGGTAGGTCTGGTGCTGAAGTGTCTCGGAAGTGTTGAAGCAGTCGTGATATCGGAATCTGGCAATGGAATCTCTAGCATCAAAGAACAAACAGAGAAACCCCAATCTCTAAATAAAAGTATGAAATCCCAATCTTCGAATGTGACCAGTCCCCAAAAATCAATCATGTTCACAGTCTCCCCCTCGACTGTAGAACCGAAGAGCACAATCTTGAATCACACAACGTCTTCAATATTCCGAAATCGAATGATAATGCACCAAATAATCTATGAAGAATAACCTGCTGAAAATGTGAAGCATCCAAAAGTGAAGTCCGAATAATAAATAATGTGAATCCGAAGACATGGTCTAGCAATGCCAAAAATTTGATCGTAAGATCAAAAATAAGTGTCACGCCGCAGTGCTAAAATAATCACCGTCTTCAAAATATCGTAAATCTAAACTCGAGCAATCATAATATCTGAATTGGAAGCAAACACAAATGAGACATCCCAAAGTGTAGAGTCTGAAGATAAATAATCATAATCCGAAGAACATCAAGTAATGCCAAAAATTCGATCTGTGAAGACCAAAAATCAATGCCACATCACACTACTAAATGAATCTTCGTCTTCAAATGTCTCTAACGTCAAAACTCCAACAATATACCATAATGGATGCTCATGATTCTCCCCCTATTTTTGATCGATCATGCAATAAAGATCAAAAATAATCATGAAACCGGGAAAGAAAATATGTCGGATATGATGGAGCATCGGACGCTCCCCTTGATGTGAGCATCTACCCGTAAAAACGAGGATATTATTTTTCGGTCATTGGTAGACATGGTGATGCATTGCCGAACTGAACAAACACTGTAGAAAATGTATGATAAACCCACTGCTGAAAAATCATAATGCTGAACCGATGTAATGCCGAAAACCGAAATACAAACCCGAACTCCCAAATGATGGTCCGAGACCATATGTAAATAGTCTGAAGGGAGTAAAATGCGAGTAGTTCGGTAGAAGTGAGACACAAAAAATAATAATCTCTGAACCAACTGTGTCTTCGCTCATAATCAGCAAGAAGAATGAAGCCTTGAACCATGAGTCTAAAATTGGTGTTAAAAAAATAATAATAAATAATTGGTTTTAATAAAAAAAATGGTTTTAAGAAAAATAATTGGTATAAAATATAAATAATTGGCATAAAAAAATAATGGGTTTTAAAAAAAAATTAATGGGTGTTAAATAAAATTAATTGGTTAAAAAAATGAAATAAAATGAAAAAAGTGGATGAGTTTCAGAATCAAAAAGGAAAATGGGTTAGGAGGTGGATCCATTATGAGAATGGATTCACATAGGAAAATGGGTTAAACTGAAAAAGGTAAGGAGTTGAAAAGGTTAGGAGTAAAAAAGTTTAGGAGTGAAATGGTTAGGAGTGGAAATTCCGGAGTGAAAAAATAGGGTCAGGAATGAAAAGTGGTAAAGGTCCAAAATGGGTGGGTTCCAGAAACTTTTTTTTTTGTCCGGAATTTTTGGTTCCGGAATTGGGTTTAAAAATAAAAAATCCGGAATGGGTGTTGGTCCGAAACTAAAAAAGGTTATAAGTTCCTAAACAAAAAAGTAGTTCCGGAGGAGGGTTTAGAAGTAGAAAAAAAAGGGTTTTAAAAGAAAAGGGTCTTGATTCCGGAAGAGTGAAAATGGTTCCGGAGTGGTATTTGGAAGAAAATGTTCGGAGTGGGCTTTGAGTTCGGAATTACTTTTGGTCCGGAATGGTTTTTTTTTTAGTCCGGACATAAGAATGGTCCGGAATGGCTGTTTGGGTCCGGAGCTGCTATTGGCTTAGGAAATACTGTAAAAGGCAAGTGGATGGGTCGAGTCCGGAAGCAAATGGTTCTTGAGTGTGCATGCATTAACCGACAAAAGAGAAAAGAGCATTTAATTATCTGACCTTCTCTCTCCTCTGCACATTTTTGTCGGACAGATAACGTGTTGTTGGAAGCGCTGCATCTTTAATGCATGTGGGACCCGGGCGCTGTGAGCTGGCGAGTTGAAGTTTGAGTGGTCCGTCACTTGCTGACTTGTCGAACAGTGAATGGAGCGTGAACTTCAAGCGCCGAAGCTGTGATTATTCTTGAGGCTGGCACGTGATTGTTGTAGTCTCCAAATGCAAGCAACAATTAATGCTTGATGGAAATTCTTGTTTGACTTCAAAAAACTGCAGGTTTAATGTATGTGGGACCCGGCTGAGAGGAGCACAACAGCTGTATGGAGTATCATCGCTTTTTGCAGGAAGGTAAAAGTGTGGCAGCAACAAATTAAAAAATTGTGTCCCACAACAATGCTCATTTGACATGTACTTCACCAAACATGTGAACACTTTCATCACATGTGCTGACAAAAAGATGCTACTCCAGTCATCATTTTTTTTTATGTCTCCAATGTACTTTTGACTTTCTTCTTATAGAGAATTAGTCCTACACGTAAATTTTCTTTTCAGCCTAAAAACCGCAAGCTTCAAAGAATGTGCTTTTCACACATACGAAATAAAAAGCTTGTACATTACTAGCCAAAACTTGTACTCTTCGAAAATTGATTGCCAATTCACTCCAAAATCCATAGTATCTCGGAAAATCTTATCCACAACTCATTTTCATCTCTAAAAAAATCACATACTCCGGACAAATGACTAGCTGTTCAACCTCTTACCCCAAAATCATATTTTTGTCTTTTTCTAAACACATTTTTGCATGGGATAATAAGATCAAACACCACCTTTTTTAAAAAGAACTTCATCTTCTTCAGCAAACATATTTTTCTTTTCATAAGCTCAAATTCAACAGCAGCAAAAGTGTAATGAACAGTAGCAGCAAAATTTTTATTTTTCTAGCAACATCACCAACAAAACAGTAAATAACTCACAGAAGACTTTTCAGTTGCGAAGGCTGAGACAATCTTCATAAATGACGAAAATCTTCAAGATAATAAACCACATATATATATATATATATATATATATATATATATATATATATATATATGTGCCTCATACGTTCAATACCAAATATCGAACCTTACTCTTAGGATATTTAATATGTTTTTAAGGACAGGTCTTTTAGAGTAGTACTAATCAGACATTCATCCTTCAAGTTTATTGGTGTACTTGTCCATCAATTGAGTCAGCACAGCATCAAACCCTTTCTCCAGCTCAATCTCCTCTTTCCAGTGCCTACTCTTCATTTCAGTCCTCTGCTCTTCAAGAGCTTTCATCAGCTTCTCCCTCTCTTCCTCAAATTCCTTCATTGCCTCAAGGCTCTCATCCCTCTTCTGAGGATCCACAACAGAATAAGATTGCTCAACTTTCATGCGCTCTTCCTTCTGGAGCTTATCAAACTTCCCTTCTTTTGCATTCCTAGCATCATGGATTATCTTCAGTTGATCTTTAAAGAACTGCTCTTGATAATCCATCTCTTCCTCGTTTTGTTCATGGTAGCGTTGTGTTCTCTCCCTCACAATACGGTTCTCTTCTTCAGTCTTTCTCAGCCTCTGAGTCACAAAATCAAACGACTCTTCAAGTGCTTTCGAATGCTTTTGTTCTTTAGCAATTTTGTTCTTATAATAATTCAGTTGTTGGTTGTCTTCATTCATTTGCTTCAACTGGTTCAAACTCTTTCTTGGTAAGAAACCAATTGTAGAGACCCAAAAATAATTGCCACATCGCATCACTAAATAAATAATCGTCTTCAGAAGTCTTCAAAAATCCAAACTCAAACAATCATAATAACCAAATCTGGATGATATTCTCTCCCTATTTTTGATATCCGGTCATTGGTTATCAAAAATAGGGAGAGAATATCATCCGGATTTGGTTATTATGATTGTTTGAGTTTGGATTTTTGAAGACTTCTGAAGACGATTATTTATTTAGTGATGCAATGTGGCACTTATTTTTGGTCTTTACGGATCAAATTTTTGGCATTACTCGATGTTTTCCGATTCAGATTATTTATTATTCGGACTCTACTACAGGATGATTTTGTGTTCTTATCCGGTTCAGATCTTATGGTTTCACGAGTTTGGATTTGTGATATGTTGAAGACGAAGATTATTTTGGCAATGTGACGTGGCACTTATTTTTTATTTTTATTTTTATTTTTTTTAGACCCATTTTTATACGAACGGTGAATGCGGAAGTAAGATATCTCGAGATTAATTGTGTTTTTGTAAGTATGAACACGAAGAACATATTATGAGTTCGTTGAAGAAGACTAAGAACAAGAGAGAATAATAATAATATTCATGAAGAACATGGTGGGAGAGAAACTCTCCATCGGTGGGAGAACCCACCAACTTTTTCTCTCTCTAGAGATTACATGCTGAGAAGTGCATTCTCTAACTAAGGAAAAATAAGCTAGCTAAAGTAAGAAATTGTCACACCCCCAAACCAAGGATGGATGGCGGAAACGTCCGGGGGTGGAGGACTTCATGTATAGTATCATAACAACAATTGTAATAGTAATTCAAGCAAACCCAACCAACATATATATAATTGAAAAAGTTACATCATTGTATGAATTACATGTTTACGAATCAATTACATTATGTTGAAAAAATATGAAATAGTAGACGCCTTAGCGTCCCATCCTCAAATGCACTTGGTTACCTGTTTAATGATTTCCTGAGAATACAAGTTGTTTGAAAAAGTGTCAACACAAAGGTTGGTGAATTCATAAGCTTTTGTTTAGTATTATTAAAAGCCTTTCGTTTATAAAAGTATTATTTGTTTTAGAAAATCCAATATTTTCTTTAAAATGTATATGTAGTCTTAAATCCAAAGACCGAAATGTATAAGTAACTTTTCTTACTTATAATAAATAATGTAAGTTTAAATCGACATAAACTCGTTTAATTTTAATGAAGTTCCCGTAAATTCCAATATTCATTAATACTTTATGTGAGTTTATTAAAGCCTTTTCTTGTAAAAGTAGTGTTCGTTCCAGAAAATCCAATATTTTCCTTAATGTGTAATGTAGTCTTAAAACCCAAAGACCGAAATGTACAAGTAGTGTTCGTTCCTTATAGTAAAACAATGCAAGTTTAAATCGACATAAACTCGTTTGATTTTAGTGAAATCCCCGTAAATTCTATGTTTGTTAATACCACATGTGAGTTATTATAACCATGCTATGACCTAGTTGGCCTGAAACGACGTTCTTCAGGCGTCGGAAATGTTATGACATTTGTCACCCCAGACCTATCGGTCTAACTGTTGCATGCAGTTTAGGTGTGGGTTTGTCAAACCCAATATAGATCTATACACAACTATCACGCTCTCCCTCAAGGAGACTCTGATTACAATACAGGACTTAATGGTAATTTGAAGTAAATGTCTCACAAAGTCATTAACGGAATTACGTGTTATGAAAACTTGGTACCGTATGGCCGTACCTTGCTTAATGAAAATATCCTTTGTATAAATGTACCCTTTTTAAATGTATGTGTTATGTAATGTATCATAAACTATACCTATTATAGTTTATCAACCAAGGCTAGTACGTAGTAATGTATGCAAACTATATTCAAAATAGTTTATTAAATGTTTGAATGTATCGGTTGTACTTTGATTATAATCACTTGTTATTCTTTATATTTTATATGTCCAAATCCATTTGTAAACTGATGTGTGTCTAAATATTAAGATAAAATGTCATATATTGCAATAACATATAATCACATAAAGATATACACCTTGCTCAACATGTTACAAGGTGAAATGAAATTGACAGTAACTTTTCGTTGAATACAGTTTCTGTTACTGTTCTTAGAAAATTTATAGAAAAATCATCAAAGCTCCAAATCCAAATCCACAAATTATGAGAGTTTGGAATATGAGTCTAGTTTGTTCATAAATTTTATCATGATTTTTAGTGATCTCTAACAGAGGTCAAAATGTCCATAATCACAGGCTGGTCCGGGTTTGCCTCTGAAATGATAGGCAGTTTTGTAAAAATCACCATAAATTGTAGAAACATCATATGGAGATGTGCAAGTAGCCATTGTAAAGCTAAGAGTTTGAACTACTTGCACCTGGAACAGTTTTGAAAACTAAAATATTTAAGTTGACAAAAACAGTCTGTGATTAAAGTCCATCTTTTCTGATGTAATCTGTTAGAAAAAGTTTAATTGTGTTCTTGATGATTTTACTTGTATTCCCCCCTTAAAACTTAAGAAAACATGTAAATGTAGGGGTATGAACTCACCCTATATGGTTTCAGTAGATGAAAGTAAGAGAGAGGAAGTGTTCAACCTAAGAACACTAAGAAGATGTCTTGATGATTCGAGAATCTAACACCGAATAAGATGGAATTTGTGTAAGATATCAATGATTTGAGTAGAATGGAGTGTAATAATTATATGAATGATGAAGATACTTACTAATTGAAGAAAGAAATCCCTGGAGAAAGCCTTGAAGTTCTTGAAGTTGAGAGAAAAGATGAGAGAATTTTGGAGAGTGTTCTTTGGTTGCTAAGTGTAGAATGAAAGAAGTTAATGAGAATGAGGACAGATGACCAATTCTCCATCTCTTAGAACGTGGGAAGAGCTGGAGATTGGGTGTAAAGGTCCACTAAGGTGACAAGGAGTAGTGGGAAAGAGTGGCTGATCATAGAGTGAGGTGGTGGTGGTTTGCTTTTGCCATAAATTAAGGAAAAGCAAATATTCCCTCAATAATTAGTTCAACCACTAATTCTTTTAATATATTTTTATAAAAGCCCTGGGAATTTATATATTTTGGGGCCTTAGTTTATAAAATAAAGTTTTTGGTGAAAATCCCACGTTAAAATAATGAAAAACGGAGTTAAAACGAAGTCGTAGTCGAAAACCGGGAAAAACAAGCTATCTGCGAGACCTCTCGCATGGGGCCGAAGGTGCGAGGCTTCGTACCAGCAGGCTCGCATGCAAGGCTTCTGTCTCGGTAGTTTTGGCTTTGGTCTGTCATGCTGGCTTCGGCTTCGGTCTCGCATGCTGAGAGGCTTCGGTCTCGCATGCTGAGAAGCTTCTAATAGGAGGGTTTTGGGTTCCTTAGGGCTATTTCACCCGTTTTTACCCCGTTTCAAGCGGTTTTTGACCCGGTTAAGGGTCGAGATGACCCAAATGATTACAAAAAGTTAAAGTAACTTTTGAGAGAGATTCGGGAGAGATTTGGGAGAGATTTTAATAGAGAGAGATTGAGTGAAAGAGATTGAGAGAGGTTTCGTTTGTGAACTTTTTGAGTGTCCGGCTTCGCAACGCAAGGTCCATAAACCCCCTTTAAGCCATGATTTAGTGTCCTACACAATCCCGATGATTGTGCAATAGTGTTTTATCGCTTTGGTTCGTTGTTTAGCACTGTTAAGGCTACGGAAAATCAAACACATGAACTTTCCAAATGATGATTTCTCATTAAAATAGCGAATTGTATAGTGATTACATAACGTAAACCCTAACATACAAGGGTTATTGGAGTTGACCGGTTTGACTTGTTGACTTTGTTTGACTTTGACTTGACCGAAATTTGACGGTTGTCATAGAAATTACCAACTCTCCCTTTATATAGGAGGGAGAGTATTTACACCATAAATAGAATAAAGGGAAAATACAACCTAATAAACACTCATTATTTGTGGAGCATTTCCATGCACCAATACTCCTATCATGTGCCTGGAACAGCCACTACCAACAAACCAAAGTCTGATGATATGCCTCCATAGCTGCTCCGACACAGAGCGGGATTAGTTGGTCTTTGGAACCCAGTCCATTTTGAAACTGGGTTGACCTTTGTCATCCTTGCATAGTACTCTCTCCCATGACATGTCCTGCTTATCACAAACAGAAGATGAATAAATATTAGAATCGTTAGAAGATTTCGGAGAGTGAGCCTTTGGAACCCATTTGTAGTTGGGTTTAACCCATTTCTTTTTCGATCTGATGGGTGGCTCAGTACTTGCTTTTGATCTTGATGTCGGCCGTTGAGATGACTTTGACCTAACCGGTCTTTGTTTTACTGGAGCATCTCTTGGATTGGGCTTCTTGGCCGACATTCCCTTCTTGCCCTTGGGATTCGGATTCTTGGCTTTGTAGGTTTGATTCTTGGCCTTCTGCGCGTTCCAGTCGCCATTGTCTGAACGTGACCTTGAGGGGTTTCTTTTGAAGTATATCCCTCTTGGCGCGTTCTGCCAGCCTTGTGCATAGTAGGGAACATATGCGCGATTAGGACAATTTCTGGCAATGTGTCCAAGTGTTCCACAGTGAAAACATGTCTTTTTCTTCACAGTGAAGTTGTTTCTTCCTGCCCCTGGTGGCGTGTCCTTGCCTTGTCTCTTATTGTTCCCACAAGCACAATTACAACAGGCACTCTGTTTCACTGGAATTGGTGGCCTGTATTTCTCAATAGCAGGTTGATCAGAAGCAGCTGAGTTCGAAGCAAAAAATTCAGAGTTCAAGGAGATGTTGGTTTGTTCAATGGTGTTCTCCTTGTTCTCATCCTCTGCTACTTTACCTGCACATGAAGTAGATGTGCTAGAAACAGGAACATCAGTATTTTCAAACAAATCATCAAATATGTCAAAAAAAATTAAATTCAACAGGAACAGAAACAAAAACATCAGAAT